TTTTTTCCTTTTAAGGACAGCCTCTTAAGTTCTGGGACTCTTCTTTGTCACTCAGTCTTCTGCCCATTTATGTGTATTCTCTAGTTCCCTTTAGCACTATAATATGGTTTGGATGGAGAACCACTGATACATGTGCCAGCTGCTAAAACAGTGTAAGAGGTACCTTGCTCCTTCCTGTAATTACATGTTGAAAAATAAGTAGAAAATTCAAAAATAATAAAAATGATCTGATTCCACCAGTCAGCTACAGTTAGCATTTTGTTTTCCTCTTCCCTGTTTTCTTTGCATAAATATACATGTAATTTTTTAAAAATGAGATCATGTTACCATGAACATTTTTCTAGGTCAAAACATCATTATATTTAGTAGCTGCATGATCCAGTATTGTATAATAGAGACATTTTAATTTATTTCAGCAGTCTTCCAATCTTGGACATTTAGGACTTAGAACACATTTGTACATATATCTTTTGGAACATCCCTAAATTAGTTCCTGAGGGTACTTTTTAAAACTGGTTCTGTGTGCTGCCAAATTATAAGATCTTTCTTTGAGCATATACATTTGCTTTAAACTTTTGTTTTTCAAACTTGGTGGTAGAATTTTGTGGCTTTTTTTCCCCAAACAGAATCTTGTATTATATAAATCAATTATATAAAAAAGGTAAAAACCCAGCTGCCAGAAAAAGTTTGGAGCCCTCAGCCTTTCCTTCAGTACCACTTACACCTGTCTATACCTCTTCACTTCCCCACCTCCCCCAATTCCCTGCCCCTGGCTGACATAAATGGTTATTTATACAATGTCTTCTAATGGACTTTTAGAAGTAATGAACTTTTGGCATCTATTATCAGTAAGGGTGCTTTCAACTACAGATAATAGAAAATCCAATTCAGTTGGAATAACAGTAAGGACAGTTCACATAATGTCTCACATATTAGCAGGTCCAGAGACAAGGTGATTCCTGGATTGTTTAATCTAGTGGCTCAGTGATATCATCAAGGATCAGGTTCTTTGCATTTTTGGGGTCTGTCTTTGTTAGTATGATGACTCTGTGCCCAAATTTGTCTCTTCCTGATCACTAGATGGCTATAGCAGCACCAAACATTACATCTTTGCACAATTCCTGCAAGGGGCTAGAGGGTACACCCTTTCCTCATATTCCTCTTGGAGAGAGAAGAAGCCCTCCCAACTGATTTCCCCTCATTTCTCATTGGGTGGAATGGTGTCCATGACCATTCCTAGGCCAATTACTGACAAGTAGAATAGAATCACCATAATTGGTTTAGACCAATCAGGATTCACCCACTAGAGTTGAAACTCTTAGCAGTCTGATAGCTGAACAACCTCCAGGTTCTGTTGTCTAGGGAGGAAAGAAGAAATGGCTGCTGGGTAGCAGCCAACAGTTGTCTGCCCTAGCATCCCATTAGAAAACATACTGAAAACCCAATGTCAAAATCCCAAGGCTGCCTCTTACTTTTGGTATGGCCTTGGGCAAATCACTCAACCTCTTTGGGCCTTAGTTTCCTTATTTGTAAACTGGAGATAATGATCCCTGCCTTACCTACCCTACAGAGTTGTGGAGAAGGAAAAATGAAATTGGATTATGAAAGAACTTCACAAAGTACTTTACTAATATCAAATTAAATTAGCTCGTTACTAATTTAATTCTTAGAAATAAATAAGCAACGCCAGCCCCTCTGTGAAAAGGTAGGAAATCAATAAACCTTCTCCAGGGATGTTGTGGTGAACAAGTCAGAAAAATGCCTAGACTTTCAAACACATCTAGAGAGGAGAAAACAATGAACTAAACAAAGCAGAAGAACAAAAGTGTTAAGTATTATGAAGAAAATAAAATAGGGTATTTGGTAGTGAGGGCCTGGGAATGACTCCATAAGTGAAAGGGTAGGTGAGTAGATAGGTGAACAACTCTGTTGCTAAAATATGGTTAAGCCTGCTTAGGTTCTTCTGAGCTTCTATCCAGGGCTTGTGGACAGGTCTCCTCTCCTCTTCCCCATGGCAGCTCAGCAAAGCTGACAGTTAGTCATTATGGTGACCAGCCTGGCTAACAGGTGCCCATACAATGTAGTTGTCCACAGTGCTCAGTACAGGGTCCACTCGAAGAACCTAGTGCTCTCCGACCAGGCTAGTGCCTGCCTCTCCTGTGCCAGTTTCAGAGCCTCTTCAGACATGAGTAAAGGGAAAAGCCCATGCCACTATAAGGTGCAGGGAACACATACCTCCAGCTCTTCTCATTGCTTGAGTTCCCTTCCAGTTCCTATCACTGTTCCCACTGCCTTCTGTGTGTACGTGATATTTGGGGTTAGAGGTTAGCTGAGCCCCAGCTTTGTGCCAGACCTGGTACTAGATACTTGGCATACTCTCTCTTAAATACACACAACACCCCTCTAAGTTGAGCCTTGTTATAATCATTTTACCCTTGAGGTTCAGAGCTATAACTTAACATGGGGCATGTAACTAGAATGTGGCAGAGTCCATTTTCAAAGCTTGCTACATTATAGGGTTTGCATTTTCCAGTGTGAATTTAGTCTATCCACTAAATTATTCCTAATGGGCCCAAACCAGTTTCATAGGTGTTCTTTTATTTCTTACTGCTGGCTCCAAGCCTGGGCCTGTCTGCTTCTCATTCTGTAACTGTCTACATCTACTCTTTCCTACCAAGGCTGGTTATGAAATGGGCCTCAATTCCCCAGCTAACAGCTTACCCTCTCCTTGCTTCATCCAAAGTCAGGTCATTTGGGTGTCAGAGGTCCTGCTAATTCTTCCCAGAAAAATGGATTGACGTTAAAGACACAATGAACATTCGTTTATCACCAAGCTTAGAATGTGCTACCGATTCCTATAGTGAAATTTCAGATCCTCTGGGCTGAGGAACAGAAACATCTGTCTTCTGCATTTATTCCTGAGGTTGAGGGTTATCAGTCTTCATATCCCAGACTTCCCTCCTTGATTCCACCTGAGTGGAGACCTTGCAGATGGTTTCCTGAGGGCCTCTGTTGCTAGCCTGAAGATAATAACTTCAGGACAGGTACATCATCTACTTTGCCCTGCTGAGAGCTTTATGCCTAGTTGCCAGACCTTTACTTATCCACAGTTTCTCAAACACCATGGTTTCCTGATATATTCTTCTATTTTTAGGTGTTTAATAGTTTCCAGTATTTTGCTTCAGCAAGGGTAATGATTATTAGTATAGTCTTTGGGATCCGATACACTTGGATACAAATTCCAGCTCTGCCACTCTAGCTGTGTGACCTTGGGGAATTCACTTCACCTCTCTGAGCTTTAGTTACTTTGATAATAAAATGAGATGGTAAAAAAATACTACTTAGGAAACAAAAGGGATAATTATCTGATCTTTACTTTTCTCATATGAAAAGATTTGGGGTCCTCATGTACTTGGAGTCTCTGAGTCTTGGTTCTGAGATTTTTAATACCCTAAGTTTTTAGAGGAGAAGGAGGTACTTGTAGTTGGAGTGAGTAAAGAAGTCTTCTTAGCAGAGGTAGTCCTTAGCCAGAGTTCCAGCTTTTCATTCCATTGGACTTGACCAGGATATCCATCTGGAAAGTTTATTTTGGCCTGAGTTTGCCCCTTTACTCTAACCTTGGATTTTTAATTAATGTCCACTTTGTTAGGCCTTGTATTTTATTGGCTGTATTGTGATGAACAGAGATTCTGCTTCTGACAGTGTATTTTCTTGCAGGTCTGTGTGAACTGGAGAAAGTCTGACCTCCCTGCTCCAGAAAAGGCAGTGCTGCTGGAGTTTGCACTTGCTATTTCCAGAGCTGATGACATAACATGACCATTTCAAAATGCTTGAGGTTCATGACTTCAACAGAGAAGACGCCTGGTATATAGTTACTATTTCAGCTTTTTATGCTATATCCAACCGCCTTACTCATTTTATCAGTCTAATCAAATTCCTAATCAAGTTTCTAATCAGTCTATAAATTCCTAATCAAGAATTCTATCTGATAGGTGGAACCAATGATGTCAGAGACATTAGGAGTGAACCTGCTGCTCTCAAAGTATAAAAACCTGAATGGAAAGGCCGGTGTTTACATTTCAGGCACATTTCATTAGAAGACGTCAGTTGGGAAGTAGTTTTTTAAAAACACCTAGTCAGTGGATAGAGAAGAAAATAAATAAATTTGCTCCCTGCTTGCTTGATGAGATAGATCCTAAGTGTTGGGGGTATCCCGGGACTTATGATACCCTGGCCTAAGGGAAACCTTTGCCAATTTCAGGAAACCTTTGCTATTTGTTTACTTTTGTTGAGATCTAAAAAGAACGTCAGGAGCGATATTTATCTTCAATACCAGTGGCGAAAGGCCTTGCATCAATCATGCCTGCCATGCCCTGCCTGGCAGATGTAAGCACGGTTGGCCCTGTGCTCTGTTGCTTGTAAAGTAGATTTGATTCAGGTCTCCAGCTCCCCTCAGTGACTCCTGGCTGGATATATGCTCCTTCCTGCAGAGAGGAAGGCTTTGGCTTTGATAAAGGCTTGACCTACTGTGTAGGAGCTGGGAATCTGGCAGATATTCAGGATACCAATAGGCCCCATTTCCACTCACTGTACAGGCCAGGGCTTTTTAGTGCAGAAGTTAACCTGAGTCCTTAGACTCCCAGGCTGAGTAGGAAGTATACTTAACTGTGTATGACCTGCACATACTATGGTAATTTCTTTCCCTTGTTGGTTTCAGTTTCAAGTGGGGGATAACTACATAATCATACCCAGCCTCTTTGACTAGTCAGGCCCACTCATCCTCACGCACACAGTTACGGTCACTGACAACTACAAACTGATTTGGTCACACGCAGTGCCCAGATGCTTATTGCCCCATATAGCCCCGGCCCTGGGAATCCTCAGTTGTGACACTTAAAGCTAATCGTTCCCTACCGCCGTCGGTCTGTGTCCCCGCTTTCGCGGTCCCCGGCGGATGGTGGCCGAGGGGCGGCGCGGGTTTCCCAGCCGGCGGGGTTAGGCCGCCGCGCGCCGGAAGTGGTGGCTGGAGCGGGAACGCTGAGGTGTCGGCCCTCCGGGCAGCGGCCCGGGGGCGGGGGCGTTGGTCATGTTTCCCGTCGGGCCCGGTAGCCCCGGAGGGGACCTGACGGCCGGAACCGGGGCTGAGGAGCCGGCACCCCACGGAGGTCAGGAGGCAGCCGCAGGGCCTCTCCCTTCCCCGCCCGTGGCGCCACAGCCTGGGGCTGACGCAGCCCTTCCTCCGTCGCCTTCTGAGCCCTCGCC